GTGCGCGCGCGCTCTCTCTCTCTCTCTCTCTCTCTCTCTCTCTCTCTCTCTCTCTCTCTCTCTCTCTCTCTCTCTCTCTCTCTCTCTCTCTCTCTCTCTCTCTCTGTCTCTCTCTCTACCGTTAAGTAACTTGTGCATTGTTTTACTTACTTGTTTATGACATATCCGACCGAACTACAAACTTTCCAGTGATGTCTGTGAGAAAGATTTATTCACTCGATAAGCTCGCACATCTGCGCTCAATCCACTCACACGTGCTCAATTTGCTTATCAGCTCGCGCACATCAGCTATACAGGCATTAATACTGAATGTTTAACATTATATTCATTGCATACATATACTTCGTATACATCCTTAATCTCAAATAACTCCATTCTGCTGTCTGTTATTTTGTTGTCGGTGTTTCTTTGTCTGAATATGGCGCTTATCACATGCTGTGTGGTATCGGCGTTTGGTATCAGGGCATTTTAACGAGTATGAGTACAGGAGCTCAGTATCGGGCCAGTATCGGTATCGGTGCATCCCTAAGTACTTTAATAATTAAACCTCAATATGACCTTCTTTTTCTCTCTCGTTTGATTCCTCGTGCTCCTAAAAGCTTATGTTGACAGAGTAGTAGCAATAAATACAGATTGAATTCAAAAACAAAACTCCTAACTTTATATCACTAAAATGAAATTGGAAGCCGCTAATAGACGCTCACATCCACACTGGCAAGGCAACATTGACAACTTCACTTCCAGGTCAAGAAGCTGCCAATCAAAAACTCAGTAGCCAATGAGAACACACCGCTGCTAGCCCCACCCCCACGAGATATTTGTGCCAGAATGGCGAACGAAAACTTCAGAAGCGTATGCAGTGTATTAAAAATGAAGTCAAAGATTTTGCCTGCAATTTAAAAAAATGTTTTCAGTTTCAAAGACATTTTATTCAGTTTCAATTTATATTTTCATAAGTTTCTTGAAAAATTACATTCATTTTAATTGGCACAAAGGTAATCCCATATTTTTGCAGTAGGCCTATTTTGTGGTGAGCTAACATTGAGCCCTTCAGAACCCAGCTGACTGAGACACACCAAATATTTTTAGCACCTTACCAGTGAATTTCAAACTTGCAACTTTTAATCAACCAGTAAACAAAAAATGCTTCTTATTTGACATCTTGTTCTATTAAAGCTGCAGTCCGTAACTTTTTTTGGTTAAAAATGATCCGAAATCAAAATTTGAGCATAACCAGCCAGTGTTCAAAACTATCGCCTTACTTTAGCCCGATTCACAACGGTTAGCTTATAATAATATTTTCAAATTTGAGTGGTACGGGTAGGTTTTCGAAGGAAATTTGAGCATGGCACTGCATCATTACGTCACTTCTGTAAACATAAAGAAGTTGTCCCGGCTACTAGGCTGTCGCATGTAAGAATCCTGCAGGTGGCGGATCATTTTTAGCCTTTTCTCACAGCAGCAGTGGCGGCTCGTCGGAGGAACCAGGGGAGGCACAGCTTCCCCATAATTTTGAGGTGAAAATGGGAGGAGGACGATTTAATGTTAAAGGGGTCATATGATGTTGCTAAAAAGAACATTATTTTGTGTATTTGGTGTAATGAAATGTGTTTATGCGATTTTATGTTCAAAAAACACATTATTTTCCACATACTGTACATTATTGTTTCTCCTCTATGCCACGCCTTTCTGAAACGCGTCGATTTTTACAAAGGTCATCGGTCTGAAAAGCAAGGTGTGCTGTGATTGGCCTGCTATCCAGTGCGTTATGATTGGCCGAATACCTCAAGCGTGTGACAGAAATGTTTACGCCCCTACCATATTCTGATGATGCCCTGTCAGGCCGGGTCGATGATTCAAAAACATGAAAACCCATTATAAACAAGGCATTCGTTGCATCCAGTGGGGACATAATTATGGATTATAATGACTTATACTGTCTTTTTACGCGTTGCTTTGCATCGCGCCACATAAACATAAAACCATGTCTGCATTTGTGATCGGAGAAATGACAAACAACAAGGCCTACTCTACACTGCCCAAAAAACTTGCTTTAAATATAAAAAATATAAAAACTCTTTAAATATATGTATGTCGTTTTCTTTACGTTTTCTGACTAAAAGCAACAAAAAAAGCCATTTTAAAGTGATTAAGCAAATAATAATAATAATCGGCTGGGATCCCAGACCAATACAATTAGTGTGCCTCCTCTATTTTAAAACCCACAAGCCGCCACTGCACAGCAGCCAGAATAATTAAATGTATCATTTTGATGGGGATTGTAATCCATAAAGGATTATGTGTTTATTAAAAACATGTGAATGAAATTAAATTATATTCCAGTTATAAATGTGCTTCTGATTACAGATAGCCTGGGATTACAAAGATTTGTATTTTAAAGAAACCCAGTTCGAAAGGAGCATAATTTGCTTTTTGGGTTAAAAGAATTTCTTAATATGAAATTCGAAGAGTATGACAATTAGATTAGACTGTGCAGAAATTGAAATCTACACGCTAATACACTACTCATAGTCACCAATGCTGATGTTGTTAATAAGCATTTGAGAATAAAGTATAACAATAACAATTTGAACGGTTTGATGTGATATGAGCTAACCGATCTTTAGATTTAATCACCATTGGTAGCTTATGGTAATGATTTTTTCCTCAATTGGTCAGTACAAACGTGGCAGACTTGTTACTTACTTGTTCAGATGGCAATATCCGGTGACAATTCTTATTTGGGTCATATTCCAAGACGTAGGCTAGAATCTGTGATTGCGAAGTACAGTAAATATCCACACCGGTTCGGTGACTGACTGCCACACATACAGATTCATCCGCGCTGGAGCCGCGCCCACTCACAACCCACGCAACCTAGATAATTCCGCACCCAGCTGCAATTCCAGGTTTTCAAACAGAGATGGCGACAAAGAGGCTAAATTTACGGACTGCAGCTTTAAACTGAATGTGCCTTTCAGCTAATATGGTGTTAATATGGTACATTGAAAGTCTGACGAAAACCATACATTTTTTAATTGTGAATGAGCGCGAATTTCCGCATGTGTTGCTTAATTTACTATACTAAAGTGCACCGAAACACACTGAACACCAGTCATACAGTGTCGATTGCAAGTTTTAAATTAAAGGGGTCATGTGATGCGATTTCAAGTTTTCCTTTCTCTTTGGAGTGTTACAAGCTGATTGTGCATAGATAAGATACCTGAAGTTGCAAAGACTAAAGTCTCAAAACCAAAGAGATATTCTTTATCAAAGTTAAGACTCTGCCACGCTCCCCTAAAACGGCTCGTTCTAACACGCTCCCACATATCTACCTCACTATGTGGAAATATTTGCATAATGAATGCGTGGAAAGAAGGCGTGGTTTCAGTAATCACAGTTAGTGTGGAAGCAGCCATGTCAGGGAGACGCTGTGTGTTTCTAAGCGAAAGCAAAATAACTTTATTTGGCCTTCCGAAAGTAGATGCATTTAGGAATCTTTAAGATCACTTACAACAGAACAGCAATGCATTTTATGGACGACCGTTTCGTGAACCTAGGAGAGGAGGTAATTCTGACTTTGCTATGACAATCTAGCGCTTTTGAATTAGCTACTGTTTTGTTATTAGTTTAAGTATTTGCTATTGACTGTTCAAATGCGGAGTTTTGCGCATCGTGTGTGTGTGTGTGGCTCATCAGCTAATTAGGATATTTGCATAATTTATTGCTTCCTGGTCTCTGTTATTCAGTTTTATGTGGGATTTTCTTTGATGTTACAAACATTACCACCATCAATGATCTACCATGATGTCACAGTAAAATACCAGGGAAAAAAATTGCGATATGTGAAATACATATTTCACAACATGTAGTGAATCAAACCCTGTATACAATCATAACCTTTTAACCAACAACAGCAAACTGTTTTTTTTTTCTGCAGGCATTGTGCAGCTAAATATACCTAGAATAATACCTACTACCAATAAAGTGCCCACAAATTCACTGTTAAACAGTGTCACTAGTCAAGAGTTTCAAAAAAGCATCCCTACAATAGTAAGTTTGGAGAGTTTAAAACTATGATATTCAACTACTTTGTGAATAATACATCACTTGGTAAAAAAAACAAATAGCATTTATTACTATGTTTGATTAAATAGTAATTTCTAAACAACAATTTATCAATTGCCACTGAATAAATAATAGGGAAATGGGTTGTATTTTGTGTTATTCCTAAAAAGTTGTGTTAAGAGTTAACAAAATTGACATGAATACTTTCTATACTTTTTGAATTGTACAAGTACACAAGATTTATTACATTATCATTCAGAAGTTAGGGGTTGGTATGATTTTTAAAAATCTCATGTTCACCAAGGCTGAATTTATTTTGATCAAAAATATAGTTAAACGGTAATATAAAATAACTTTTTATTTTTTATTTTAATATATTCTGATATATATTTTAATGGCTGATTTTTTTGCTGATTTGGTGCTCAAGAAACATTTCTTGTTAAAAACAGCATACACTTAATATTTTTGTGGAAACCATGGTACATTTTTTTTTCCAGAACTCAGCATTTTGATGAATAGAAAGTTAAAAAGAACAGGATTTATTTGAAACAAATCTTTTGTAACATAATAAATGTCTTTACTGTCATTTTTGATCAATCTAATATAAGTATTCATTTATTCAGTCATTTATTTATTGTGCATATATTGTGACTTATAAATTGCAGAATTTGTACTATTTATATCTATATACAATCTATATTAAAACTACAACTTCTCAAATTTATCTTTTAAAATGAATCAAAAATTTATTCTACATTTAAACGATACTACAGGAACTACTGTATTTCAAACTTTCTAGCATATTTGCATGCATTTTTCTCAGCTGTTCAGGTTGATGTAATGCTCTCACAGAACATTCATCCACTAGGAAATATCATTATTAAAAAAACCTTATAATGCTCAAAACCACTAACAAACACACAAACTGGTGCTCAGCCATGTGAGATGTCATAAAGACCTAAAATAAAAAAGCACATTTCCATACGCTGAGGGGGTTGAATCTTACAAACTACATGCTTGCTTCTGAAAGACCTTCAGGAAAATGTAATATCCATAATGAAAGAGACACATTCCTAATATGTAATATCCTCTTAAGCTATTTACTACCTTGCCATTGCCACCTCCTGGTTCATGGCCTACATTGTCCATTGATCCCACTTTGGCCTTGACGTTAACATTATGGGATTCAGTCTTCACATCACCACCACCTGAGAGAGATCAATCATCATTCACATGGCTATTTACTGCATGCATTCACAATGAAACTGCATTTAGAGTAATAGGCAATATTAAAATTGATCCATCCCCTACCTGGCTTGTGCTTTATGTTGTCCTTGGATCCACATTTAGAGGCCACTTTGCTCAAGTCAACCTTTTTATTTAAAATCTGAACCTGCAAACCAGAAATAAAGAGCTGTTGGACTAAAGTGTCTGATTTGTTTCTGATAATGGATGTCCTAAGAGAAAATAACATTTAAGACACATACTGTACATGTAACTCATTGCTGTTCTAAGCGTCATATGATGAAAGGGTTAGTTCACCCAAAAATGAAAATTCTGTCGTTAATTACTTACCCTCACATCGTTCCAAACCTGTAAGACCTTCCTTCATCTTCAGAACACAAATTCTTTCTGAGCTTTCTGACCCTCCATAGACAGCAATGCAACTACCATGTAGTAGGCCCAGAAAGGTAGTAAGGACATAAGTTAAAATAGTCCATTTGGCATCAGTGGTTCAACCTTAATTTTAAGAAGTTACGAGAATCATTTTTGTGCACATAGAAAACAAAAATAATGACTTTATTCAATAATTTCTTCTCTTCCATGTCAGTTTTCGATGTGCATTCATGAGAGTACCACAACGCATGCTGCTGATAAAGGAGCCAGCGTTCTGATGTAGAACATCCATCCCTCTTAGTTTATCATCTGTATATTCTGTTTTGAATAAGTAAAACTGGGCAGAAATTGCAAGTCATCCTCTCCGTTGAAATCTTGCCTCAGCAGCATCACACGCATGTGTCGTGGTACTCTCATAAACATGCGTCGAAAACTGACACAAAAGAGAAAAAGTTGTTAAAGTCTTTTTTTTTTCTTTGCGCACAAAAAGTATTCTTGTAGCTTGGTAAAGTTAAGGATGAACCATTGTCACATGGACTATTTTAACAATGTCCAAAGATAAACGAAGGTCTTACGGGTTTGGAACAACATGAGGGTGAGTAATTAATGACAGAATTTTCATCTTTGGGTGAACTAACCCTTTAACACATTTTTTATAAGAGAGTTGTTGAGCCAATATGACACTGTACACTTACATTTCCTCCACCAGGAACATGCTTGATATTGTCCTTGGAGCCACATCGGGAGGTGACATGACTGAAGTCCAGCTTTTTGTGGACTATCTGAACCTAAACACAGCACAACAGCACAAAGGAAACATTGTCAAAGGTTATTCTACAGTTACACATGCAAAACAGACAGAAACAAACGCTATGAAGTCTATGAGTCTGTTAAACAATGTACTACTGTAAATTAAAAGTAAAGAGTAGCACGATGCCACAGAAGATACAAAATCATCATGTTCATGCCAAGTAGTGTTGAATGATCAAGCTACTCATTTATTTGCAGCAAACAGTTATTTTCGCTCTTGTGTTTGAAGAAGTAAGTTGATTCCTGAACATTTTATGTGGCAGCCATATTAGATTCAAACGTTCATTGTCTGTTGTGCTGTGTGGTGCAGGATTTATTTGTGTGACTCACATATTTGTTTGGACAGAGTACCAGCAGGCCAGGAACACTCTGTCTGACTCAGAGTGTGTTTTTACAGCCTAAAGCTCACTTTATTGTCTTAATCTCAGGTAATGCTTAAACACTTGAGGGGCTACAGTCTAACTGTTTCATTTGACCTGCAGTGACAGACCACTTCAGGAAAAGCAAATGTAATTTGGAATTTGGAATTTCCTGAAAACAAAAAAATGACCATGATGATTCTTTGAGCAGCAAAGAAACATCAGTAGCACTAAAGTCTACTTAGTTATTGACATGCAAGGCACTGTTAAAGGGGTCATGTGATGCGATTTCAGTTTTTCCTTTCTCTTTGGAGTGTTACAAGCTCTTGGTGCATAAAAAAGATCTGTAAAGTTGCAAAGACTAAAGTCTCAAATCCAAAGAGATATTCTTTATAAAAGTTGAGACCTAAAACGGCTCGTTCTAACACACCCCCACATATCTACGTCACGATGTGTGAAGATTTGCATAACACCGCCCAAATTCTCGCTGTAGTATTGTCGTGAAGGCGCTGTGTGATTCGTTGTGAAAGCGAAAATACTTTGTTTGGCCTTCCAAAAGAGGACGATATTGCTTTGTCATGCCTGGAGCTGATCCGTGCTGGTTGCTGAGGAAATACAACAACTTCGCGCTGTGGATCGCCGGATTGGCTTTCACCGTGGACGAAGCGGAGTCCAGCCCGGGGTCGTCACATGTGGTTTCTCCGATCACAAATGCAGACATGGTTTTATATTTACGTGGCGCGATGCAACGCAATGCATAAAAAGACAGTATAATATAATCCATAATTATGTCCCCACTGGATGCAACGAATGCCTCGTTTATAATGGGTTTTATTGTTTTTGAATCATCGCTCCGGCCTGACAGGGCATCACAGTATGGTAGGGGCATAACATTTCCGTCACACGCTTGAGGTATTCGGCCAATCATAACGCACTGGATAGCAGGCCAATCACAGCACACCTTGCTTTTCAGACCGATGAGCTTTGTAAAAATCTATGCATTTCAGAAAGGCGGGGCATAGAGGAGAAACAATAATGTACAGTATGTGGAAAATAATGTGTTTTTTGAACCTTAAACCGCATTTCATTACACCAAATAATGTTCTTTTTAGCAACATCATATGACCCCTTTAAACAATATCCATGGAACTGCATACATAATAGATAACAGATATATAGAGGCACAATTCCTCACACAGCTGACTTTGTGAAACAGCAGGAGGCTGTAGGTGATCTTGGGAGTGAAAACACAGCAATTTTAAATGCAATGAAAACTGTTTTTAATCATATGCCAATAACAGATGTTATGCAAGACAATATAATAGAGGTTCTCAACCTTTTGACTCAAAGTCAATATTGCCTAATACAATATTCAAAGGCTCATATTCTGTATAATAACTATAATACATTATTGCCGATATTAGTATTGATACAGGTAAATAAATTAATTAACCACAGAAATACTATTCCAATTAAAATCTTGAGTTTATACTTATTATTTTATAAATAATTTTTACAAATTCTAAATCTTACTGATGCCCCCCTTTGGAAGTTTTCTGAGGCCCTCTGGTTGAGAACCACTGATAATATAATATAATATAATATAATATAATATAATATAATATAATATAATATAATATAATATAATATGGAGACATTTTTGTCTTTATGTGTAAGAATATTTTGAAAATAAATAGTTTAGTTTTTCATTTCATGCTATATTAAGTTCCCCAAGAATAGCCACAGTCTACTGTGTGGAAAGATGCAAGAAAGGTGATAAATATAGCACATATTATATTCGCAGTGGGAAAGCATTTTTTTCCTTAAAAGCAAAAGCAAAAGTGCAAGTATGACACTCCATTGTAAGGTAAGAAATTAATTGCACTATAGAGTGTTGATACTATTGCTGAGTCTGTACAACATGCAGTTATGCTATTTTTAGACGGACGTGGTTAGTGCAGAAAACACTAACAAAAACACAGACAATTATCTGGTAACAATGGTAAACCAGACTCTACGAATATTTCACAAAGAGTGACACAATGATCATGGGTGAACTACCGAGAGACAGAATTGTGTGGTGTTAAATCCACAGAAGACATACACAGACCAGGCTGCATTGCTCTAAAAACATTATCTAACACATGTATGTGGACATGTATATATACGTGCCTGCATGTTTCCTTATAATTCAGAAAACCACTGTAAACGAGTCAGTGTGTATTAGCTCAGAACTGCTGTGTTTTCAGGAAACAGTAGAGGTAAACTTCTCACCCAAAGCCTCCATTAAATCAGCATTTAGTAACAGCTACAGACAAGTAAGCACCTTTATTTGCACATAAGCACCTCTGGTGACCGCTGGAAAGAAGATCTCTCCACTCTTAAATCTGTTGGACTGTTGGTTTATTTAACCAGAATTTATTTAATTTCATGTAATGGGTGTTATTCAAGTCTCTGCTAATTGAAATGTTTGTCTTAATATTTGGATGACTTGTTTGTGGTATATTGGAACACACAGTTTACACACTTTATATTATATCCAGTCACATAGCCTTAAATTATATAATGATTACTATATTGCACATAAAAATGGTGAGAACTTTTGAAATTCACAAGTTACAATATTCCAGTCTGTCATAAAGAAACTTCTGAAAATTATAATGCATAGGAATGTATTAGTCTACTGGGAAATAAAGTTTTGTTTACAATGTACCACAATGCTACCATAAGCCAAGTAACAAGTAGTCACAGTCTAGTGCAAGTGCACACACAGGTTTACATTTGTGAAAAGTGGGGACATCCCATAGGCGTAATGGTTTTTATACTGTACAGACCGTATATTCTATTGCCCTACACCAACCCTACCTTCAGCAACTAAACCAAAGCAAAATCTGATATAATATTATACTGTATGTAAATACCATTACCAGGAGGTATAGTAAATTTAATATACTATGTGTAATTTATAACTATGTCTATTTCTAACTGTATGTAAAATATTTCTCTGGATAAGAAAATTTATTCATTTTCACCTGGTGTTGTCTTTGCACTTGTCTTTTTCACTTCTCCTGCTTGGTTTTCAGTCTTTGTAGCTGTAAAAACACAGAATCAAATTAAATTATGTAAATTTAAATGTCATTACATGATTATCCTGACTTTAAATCACTGAATGCATAACCTGAGCTCCTACAAACCTTAATTCAATGAAAGTGAATGTGAAGGACAGAAGTGTAAAGCACTGTTGGATTGTACTGTTGTTTAGCAACTTGCCAATTGTTTGACTCATGAAACACCTTTACAAAATCTTTCAATAAACAAAGACTAAAAAAAAAAGTTTCGAAAATTATTTATGATCGGGGACCTTTATACTACGCATACAATTATAAAGACTGTAAGTCTATGATTTGTTTTTCATCAATATAAAATGTAATTAATCTACCCTGACAAAGTTCTGTATGGTGGAACAGCTCACCAGAGGAGCGTTGGGAAGAGGTGGTAGTTGGGGTGCTAGTAGTGCCACTTTTAGAATTCGTAGCCAATGCAGCTTTAGCCTTTGGCACTGGAGGGCGACGCTGAGTTGCGGTCTCAGAAGACTGAAGAAAACAGTAAGACATCAGAATGCTGAACAACCATGAATGAAAATGAGTTGAAGTCAGAAGGTTGATTAGATGAGTTACATACATAAGGGTGGTGTAATGTTTGAGGGTGATTGTTCAATTTAGGCAGAGTTTGACTACTTACAAATCTTGAAATGACATGACCCAGATAAACGATCTGATATTGGCCTTGATCAACTTTAAAGTGGATTGTGGTATATTGGGTATTGGTGTGGATCTTTGATATTGTCTCTGTTTGTAATGACCTTTTCTGTTTATTTGGGGTTTTTTTTGTAGAGAGCAAACCTTGAATTTTCTAATGCAGCATGTTACCTAGCAGTCAATGAACTAAAATAAATTCTTTGTCCCAAATTAAAATGTAAAGCATATTACAATATACTACTATAATCTACTAGATTTTCTTTTTATAATAATAATAATAAAAATCTCCCTTAACTAATGGACAAAAATTTCCACTAAATGAAAAATCACCCATATAGAAAATGAGCAGAGAAGAGATGACACTAGGTAAAAAGGTGAGAATGAATAATAGATTCATAATCTACAAGCACCATGCACGAAAGTTGGAGAAAAAGTCATTTACAACCTGATCTGAAGAGAGAGGATCAACTTTAAAGTGGATTGTGGTATATTGGGTATTGGTGTGGATCTTTGATATTGTCTCTGTTTGTAATGACCTTTTCTGTTTATTTGGGGGTTTTTTGTAGAGAGAAAACCTTGAATTTTCTAATGCAGCATGTTACCTAGCAGTCAATGAACTAAAATAAATTCTTTGTCCCAAATTAAAATGTAAAGCATATTACAATATACTACTATAATCTACTAGATTTTATTTTTATAATAATAATAATAAAAAATCTCCCTTAACTAATGGACAAAAATTTCCACTAAATGAAAAATCACCCATATAGAAAATGAGCAGAGAAGAGATGACAATAGGTAAAAAGGTGAGAATGAATAATAGATTCATAATCTACAAGCACCATGCACGAAAGTTGGAGAAAAAGTCATTTACAACCTGATCTGAAGAGAGAGGCATATAATTAGCCCTGTCAAATTAATTGATATCTGTACTTGCGAAATATTTAAGAGCCAAAACAAAACAGCACCTTATATTTTATTCAGTAGCCTAAAAACATGCATCTCTCTTGAGATTTTGCTGGTGATAGAACATCGTGAGTTGACAATGACACAGAGGGCAAGCCATGGGCTGATTTTAAGGGAAGAGAGATGGGCATCAGAGAAAGTCGCAAATGTTTTCCCCTGTGGATTGTAGGCCGGGTGCCAAACCACAGATGAGGGAAATGGCATTAACTCACCTTGGCCTTAGTCTCAAGAGTAGATGTGGTGGTGGGGGTTTTCTTGGTGCCAGCAGTGGGGGTTGTTGCCTTGGGCATAGGGCTTTTTTTATTGGCAGAGTTGGTGGTGGGAGAGGTGCGTTTGGTGGCACCTGCACTGTCTCCAGTGGACAGCGAGTTTGGTCTTGCTGAGCTTTGTTTGGTTGACCCAACTGAAGGCTATATGCATGCATTTGCAAAAAGCACAAAAGAAAAACTAGATGCAAACATGGGAGCATGATAAAATCAAGGTAGCAGCAATGGCTGTACAAATTGTTCATAAATCATAAGATGTGAGTTTGGGTAACTGATCTTTATTCTTTATAAAGATGGGAAAATGAGAGCAAACACCTCTTTTTCTCAAATGTGGCGGTTTAAATAATAATAACAAAACATATCAAATGAATGAAGTCTCTTTGTTTTTCAGACTTACCTTGGCCTTACTATCTGGGCTGGTCACCTCCTTGCTCCCATTAGATGTTGGAGACTTAGCAGGTCCTTTAGCAGTCTTCGCATTCTTCTCAGCTTTGGCTGTCTTGTCCACTTTTTCTCCATCGTCTTTCTTCTCGTCTTTCTCCTTGTTTGTCTTCTCAGGTTTGTCTACTTTCTCAACCTTCTCAGCTTTATTTTCCTGTTTTTCCTCTTTCTCAACCTTCTTCTCATCCTTGATGATTTGCTCACTCTTCTGAGTCTTATCCACACTGCCTGGTTTCTTTGTGATCTCATCTTTCTTGTCCAGGTGATCAATCTTCTCAATTTTCTCAGGCTTGTCTTGCTTCTCAATTATGTTGATGTTTTCCATCTTCGGAGCAGTTTCCACCTTCTCCATTTTCTCTTTGGCTGTCTTGTCTTCTTTTACTTTGAAAAGACAAAGTTGAAATTCTCATGTTTAATCAAGCAAATGTGGATCTACAATTATTATCTTTATCTTTATAATTATCATAATGATCAATGTAAGTTTGTTCACACAAGGCTTTTGGTTGTAGCTTGCTGTAATATCCAAGATGTTTTGGAGACAAAAATTAGCAGTAAGTTACAATTTATGCCTCAGTCTCAGTACATTCTGACAATAAGAATTAAAGTAGAAAAGCATGAGAGGCCATGAAAAGGGGCACAGAAAGTGACAGTGCCTCGAGCGGACAGACAGAAAAGAACATTGTCAGTCTGGATGCCTTATGTAACTTGGCACCATTCACCCCACAAAGTGAAAAATCAATGGCCAACGGAAGACCAAAACACTAAAAACCGTGTGTGAGAGAGGGAGACAGAAAAAACAACAAAGAAAAAAGAAAGGACAGAAAGAAAGAGCACACTGTTCCTGAGACAGGATGATAAATACTCATTGAAAGTTGTGACAGGCCAACATAATGTCAAAAGCATGCAGTTTATTATTATTCGATTTTTTAATTTTGGCAGTACTTTGGTAAAGTATTTTTTAATATTATGTCCTGTTACTTTGATATATTGAAATGAAGAATAAACATAAGTCTGTTTCCTTTTGAATTAAATAAAATACGATTTTTAAGGTCTGTTTTGTCCTCTATACAGCTAGATTTTTTCAGACACTTTTTAGTAACATTATCGAGGAATAAAATGCTTTTAATGCTTGAAACATCATTAGTTAGAAAGTTATAAATTTGTTAACAGTTGGAGATGTCTAGAACATTTAGTATGTTTTCAATTTATCTTCTCCACGGACCCCCAAGGGTACCTTCAGAGACCCTGGATGAAAACCATAACTCTTCCTCTGAAGCTCTTCGCACAGTTACAGATGGATAAATGGATGGTAATATTCCAAAGTGTATACGTGTGAAACATGGGCTCATTTCAGTACAGCAAAAGCAAATTATGACAAAAGGACATCCAAAGGTTACTCTGTTGATATTTTTGTGTATCCCTGCAGGCGGCCAGTGGCACACACAGCAAATCGTATCCATCTTTTTGTCAATCTCATAACCGTATCTATAACCTCTGCATCTGGCAATCTGTCTTCATCAGGTGTGTTAATACACAGATATGCACATACACAATAAAAACAGCACACTATCTGCTGGAGCATTTGAGGAAACTGTTCTAACAGTAAAACCTCTTTCAATAAACAAATCTTGAAAAGTGTTTTAAAATGTAGAAAATGCATATATGACAAGATATCAGCAGAATAAATCCACATCTACGCTAAATAACAACCCTAAACCTTTCTCTTTTTATTTCACTCTATTAGCTGTGCTCAATATACTTTGCAAACGACAAACATCTATAACAGACCGTCTTTGAGAGAAGGTTTGCCAAAAAAACAAAATACACTACCATTGAAATGTTTGGGGTCAGTAAGATTTAAAAAAAATAATGATAATATATTTATTCAGAAAGGACACATTAAAATGATAAAAAATGACAGTAAAGACTTTAACATTGTTACAAATGACATTCTATTTCAAATAAATGTTGTTCTTTTGAGCGGTATATTCATCAAAGCATCCTGAAAAAATGTACCATTTTCACAAAAAAAGTAATAGGCCATTTTGATAAAGAAATGTTTCTTGAGAACCAGTTTAGCATATTAGAATGATTTTCGAAGGATCATGTAACATTGATGACTGGATTAATGGCTTTAAAGCAATTCATTACATTTTAAAATAGATTCAAATATACAAATATTATTTTAAATTGTAATAATATTCACAATATTACTGTTTAATATTATTCAAATAAAAAAATATATATCTCAGGACCCCAAACTTGTATGTTCAGCTCTGTCACACAGATAAATTGAATTACATCTGTTGATGCAAAGGCACAAGTACAGAAGTAATCCAGGAACCAGAGATCTAGAGATCAACAGATCCCAATCCTGCATTGGCACACCACGGAGATCACAGCAGCTGATCTCACCTACCATTACAGACACCTTTAGGCTGAATGTCAGGGGATGAAACAGCATTTCCACTTCCCGATGGCTGTGGCGGCAACTGTATCCTTTCAAAACTCTGTGGCATACCAGCAGGCTGTTCTTTCTTTGCTGATGGGATACTCATGGATGGCAGAAGACTCTGTTTGTCCTCCACGGTAAAGTATTTGACGGCGGTCTGGGGTGGCGGCACATCCTTGCCTGGATATTTATCGGGCAGCTGAAGGCTAGCAGGCACTGTCAGGTGGGTACTGTCTGACATTGTGCGCTGGACCATTCGCTTTTGTTGCACGGGGGGTGACATGGGTGGGCGTGTTTCCGTTTTTCCCTCAACTTCGCCCTCCACATAGCTGTCATTCACCACGCCGATCACGCAATAATTCGGCGCGAGGCCTGTTTTCGAGATGCTGGGGGGTGGATCCCAATCGCTGTCTGAGGATGTCAAGACGCCACTCCTCGGTGAAGGTCCTGATGTCACCCCATTGGTGGAAAGGTCTTTCCCTGGAGACAGGGGTGATGGAGAGGATGAGACGCTTGTGGGACTTTCTGCTGCACTGCCCAAATTCTTCCCACCCCTGCTGCTCTGGTGACTGGTTACCCCTTGGTCCACCTCCTGGCTGAGTGCTGTCGACCTGGTGGAAACGTCCTGCTTGTCGTCCTCTAACAGTCTGGAGGATTGCAGACCGTCTGGCTGCCCCTGCTGCCAGTTCCAGCACTGGGCAGCTGTTGACGATGCCAAGCCTGGCATGGAGGGTGGCACTGAGCACAGATCTCTGCACTCTGAGCGCTGGGATGACATCCTTACAGTCCTTGTCTCTCTAGATATATTTGTTCTGTATCAAGGTGTCTATCCGTCAGTAAACAGCATTGATTTAGATGAAGTCTAAATTCAGAAGTCTACTGTAAGTCTACAGCACTGGTCTCTAAACCTCCCTCAACGCCGAGGCTGAGATGACTCTGCGTCTCTCTCCCAAATCCCCCTCCTCTCTCTCGTTCTCTCTCTCACCCTAATTCTGTCCGCACATTCCTTCCAAGTCTTCGATCACGTGATCACGCGAGCCGCGTCCTTATTGGATGCTCCGCACTGAAAACCCTTGCTTTTAGCATCCAGCGTGTTTATAAATACCCCTTTCTCTCTCTCACTCACACATTGTCTCGTTTGGTTCTCAGAATGTTCTAGCAGACGCAAACGTGCACCTTTATCATTAGCGGAGGATGTCATCATTGCCTGGTCCTCGGGTGCTGTGTCCCTCACTCAACACAATAACATCGGTATCAATCACATTTAGAGCAATCAGCTGAACCATTATATTCCTCCGTCTCTCACGTACGAGGTTGATGGAAGTGTGACCTCTTTTGTGTACTGTGCCTCTTATACTGTGCCTGAGTTCTTATGAGAGTGTATTAAAGGTGCAGTTCACCCAAAAATGAGAAGTCTATCATCATTTACTCACCCTTGTGTTTTAGTAAACCTGTTGGACTTTCTTTCTCGTGTGGAAAAAAAGAAGATATTCTAATGCTCCAACTGTCCCATTTAATGAACGTCTTTGGAGTACAAAACTACGTTGGATGCCACTGACTTTCTTTGTAAGGACAAAAATATACAAATTCTTCAGAATATCTTATTTTGTGTTCCACATCAGAAAGAAGTCATTCAATTTTGGAATGTCAGGATTTGACCAGGAATTCAAGCATGTCACCACAGTGAGGATCCAGAATGCATGCACAAACCAGCCTTTTCTTACACTCAAACAGATAAATCAGATGTCAGACACTAGCCCTTCAAAAAATAAAAAATAAAAATCCTTTCCTTCCAGCCATTAGACACATCAGTCCCATTCCAGTTCAGTCATGTCCTCTCACTGTCTTCTGTCTTTGAGAAATTAAGTTTTTATGGTGACACACACACCTGATATCATGCAAGACAATTATTCATGAAAAGAGGGGGGAAAAAAATCATTAAACATAAACAGGTTGAGCGACATAAATCACTTCCACAATCGGTCACAACAGCAGGGTTCTATATTATTCAGCACTTTACAGTATGTATCTGCACAGAAATAGCACATATATTTAAACCTCTATATTAGGTAACCTACTAGACCAGTTAATTACAGGCATCCTAACATGAAAAATGTGAGCAGTAAAAACCATGGTTTTAAAATGATATCAGGGGCACCAAAAAAAACTGTATTACATATTACTTTTCTGGCTCCCACTGCATACGCCCTTCCAGACTTGAGCAGAGGCATGTGATGTCGTAATTCATGTGTAGTCTGATTGGCTCAGGCACCTTAATTAGAGTGAACTTCACACATACACACACACGCAGTCTGGTCAGCTAACCTTGTGGGGACTCTCCATAGGCGTAATGGTTTTTCTACTGTACAGACCGTATATTCTATTGCCCTACACCAACCCTACCCCTAAACCTACCCCTCACAGGAAACTTTCTGCATTTTTAGATTTTCCAAAAACTTAATTCTGTATGATTTATAAGCTTTTGTACCCATGGGGACCACAATTTAGGTCCCCACCGTGACACGAGTCCCCATGAGTCTGTGTGTAGTCAGGTTTAAGTCCCTACCAGAATATATAAACCAGTACACACACACACACACACACACACACTACAATGCATCAGCTGCAGTGGCCTTCCAGGCCAGTGACAGATATAAAATAAGTATTTTCTCTCTGACTGTCTCATTGCTGTAATGGGCCAGAATCTTGTGAATGGGTTTTGTTGCATAAGGACATGTCAGATGAATTTTACTGTTTACATTCCTCGAAGAACACATTGCATCGCATCCTTTAGCTCAATATACAGAGGATATTGAAACTTCCTTTCACTTCATTGCATCTCTTAGTGCATTTTCGTCTTAGTTAGTTTCAACTCCACAAATTAAATTTTGGTTACACTTTATTTTAAGGTGTCCTTGTTACAGTGTAATTATACATTTAATTACTGAGTAATATTAATTAACTACATGTATTTACTATATGGTTAGGGTTACTTGCATGTAATTATGCATCATTTATTGTTATTATAATAGTAAGTACATGTAATATGTGTAAGAAGGACACCTTAAAATAAAGTTTAACCAAATTTTAATTTGTGAAATTGAAACTAAGATGAAAATGCATTAAGAAATTCAATGAAGATTCAATGTCTAAAATTTTACCCACATTTTTTCTATATGTTTGTAAATAAAATCCTTTTTGTTGCCATTATGTGGCATTTAGACATACAGTACTGCCATTTTTTAATACAAAAAGTTATTGGTTATGATTAAATGTTATTATATTATTAATCATATACAAATGTACCTACATTACAATCAATTTAATTTTAGAGTTCCATGATGACTATAAACAGTGCTTTTGAATAAATGGAGCAGTTATATGCCAGTACCAACCTCTATATTTTGAAATCTGTTCACAATAATTAAAATATCACAATGTTCTTCTCAGTAATGAAAACACAGCATCAGAAGTGCATTTAACACAATTAGCGTGGGGTAGAAGATGCACGCTCATTGAGTAATCGGGAAGCTATGTCACAGAGTTTCTATTTCTGGAACATATCCTACAGTTACACCCTAGCTTGTTCTTTGGCAGGTCCTATTCGCTGCATCACCAAGGAAACCGCCTCTCATATCCATGGCAACAGTCTCCCCGTCAATGCAGCTGCTGATATTAGGTGGTTGGAACCACCCGAGGGGAGGGAGAGGAAGTGAGTGAGCAAGGGCAAGAAAGGACGAGAAAGCTGATGCGAGTAAAGGAAGGGAATAAAGGGCCAAGAAGGGCATCTCCTATTTCTGCATTTAAAAGACTGAAATCCAGAGAAGACCAAGTGTTGTGTTTAAAAACTAGATGAATAGCTGGATGAATAAACCTGAACAGCTGAAACACAGCGTCATTCAAGACGTCATCAGGGATCTCTGTGTTAGCTTTTAATCCAAAGCTACTGCCCAGTACTCAATATCCCTGCCGGAGTGCAGCACCTCTCAAACGCCTCTGAACACACCCTAATCACTCGCTATAAAAAGAACAACTATATGAGTCTTATATAATGGCGAATGGATCAGCCATCAATTTTACATGAGCTGCTGCAAGAGGATGGGAGAGATAGGAGGAGATGTGTGTGCGTTTGTGTGAGAGAGAGAGGGAGATGAAAGACAGAGAAAGCCACAGAAATACTATAGGGAGTATGAATTCAACCTATAAATATCACCAACTAAAAATAACTAATCCTAACAATTCTGCTCTTGAATCAACTGTTAATTTGATTAGATAAACAATCTAGTAAATTGAAATTTCCTTTCACATTAAGTTCTTTAAAGGATTAGTTCACCTGATAATTTACTCACCCCCATGTCATTCAAGATGTTCATGCCTTTCTATCTTCAGTCAAGAAGAAATTAAGGTTTTTGAGGAAAACATTCCAGGATTTTTCTCCATATAGTGGACTTCAATGGGGACCAACGGGTTGAAGGTCCAAATTGCAGTTTCAATGCAGCTGCAAAGGGCTCTACACGATCTCAGGCGAGGAATAAGTGTCTTATCTAGCAAAATGATCGCCGTTTTCTAAAAAAAATTCAAATGTATATACTTTCTAACCACAAATGCTCGTCTTGCACTAGCTCGACTTCACACATTATGTAGGAAAGGTCACGTGTGATGTATAGGCGGAAGCACCGACCCAGTGTTTACAAAGCGAACATGCAAAGAAAGTCAAATGAACTTTACAAAAAAAGGTAAAACAATGATGTCTGACGATTTTGAAGTTGGATATGAAAATTAAATGGAGTTTCTTACATTACCCTACCTTTCTGAACCGAAATACACAGGCAAAGAACTAACCACGTGTGACCTTTCCAACGTGACTACGTAATAAGTGAAGTCAAGGACGCGCATCACAGAGCTAGTGCAAGATGAGCATTTGTGGTTAAAAAGTATATACATTTTTATTTTTTTAGAAAATGACTGATTGTTTCGCTAGATAAGACACTTATTCCTCGGCTGGGATCGTGTAGAGCCCTTTGAAGCTGCATTCAAACTTCAACCCATTGGTCCCCATTGAAGTCCACTATATGGAAAAAATCCTGGAATGTTTTCTTCAAATACCTTAATTTCTTTTTGACTGAAGAAAGAAAGACATGAACATCTTGGATGACATGGGGGTGAGTAAATTATTAGGAATGTCTTGTTCTGGAAGTGAACTAATCCTTTACGCTTTTTAAAACCAAAGCAAACTAAATCAATCTAAATCAATCATATTCAGTATCAGAGATTAGTGAGAATACTGGCTAACACTCACATAGAGGCTTTGAAAAGTAAACATTATACAATGCAGCCTTACTGACAACATTAAGTTTAGATGATTAAGGGATTCAACTAAGCTTGGAAAAAACTTTTCTGTTCTCAATTATTTGTTTTATTGATTTCCAATAGGGATGGATGTTATGGCTAAAAACAGATAAATGGCTGACACTGACATGCTATAGTATTTAAATGAAACATAAAACACTAAAATGTAAAATCAATCTTTGTGAAAAAAAGTGAATTCAGGCTTCTCAACCTAATGTAAAGTAAGAAAATGGGGTAAAACTTCAGTATAGGGACCAATTCTCACTATTAACTAGTTGCTTATTAGTATGCCTTTTACGTATTGGCTTTTTATTAGTAATTATAAAGCACATATTTTGCAAGAACATATTCTACATTCCTAATTCTACCCATTACCTAAACTTAACAACTACATTACTAAATATTAAGAAGCAGAAAATTAGGAGATTATTGAGGCAAAAGTCATAGTTAATGGTTTGTTAATAGCGAGTATTGGACCTTAAAATAAAGTGACCAAAAATGGATATTCATTTTGAGATTTGATAAAGATTATATTTAACAATTATTTCAGTTTTTTTAAAGAACTGTAAGTGAGCATTAGACGATAGCAAAGATAATCTAAATATATAAATACCATATAAAAATAGCAAAAGAGCTTAATTAAATAACTGATGAAGTACTGATGTATTGTGCATCCCTACTCTCCAAATATATCAAGAACGCTTCAACTTATAAAGTTCATAATGTATGTATATATACAGTGGGCTGTACCCACAATTCACAGTGAGATACTGAGATATTTTCTTACCTGTTTGATGTCCAGTATTGTTCAAACAGTGATTAACATGAAAAGAAGAAGAAAAGAACATCATTAACTCATACTTACAAAACTATTTTTCTGCTAAAAATAAAAGGTTAAACACGTCTAAAGACAATAATTTCAAAATCTATGTGTAGCAGGTGAATTAGCAGACAGACCTCTTAATCTCATAAACATTGGATTGACAGTTTTGAACAAGACTAAAGCAGAATAAAGAGTCATATAGCATAAGATGGCAAGGAGTGACATACAGAAAGCTGTTCACCCACAGAATGATTAGAAAATGTACAATCCCACATAGACAGTTGACTAGTTGACACACATCGACAAGACATGTGCGTTTTGAGGGATGCTGTGACCAAGAGAAATCGGAAAATCCAGGGGATGGTTAACTAAAGAATAACAGTTAGTCAGCTGCCAGTCGTGATGCATAGCGATCAGTGTGTTATGACTGCACTGAAATGTTAAACAACTTTATTATAAGAATGGATTACATGCAGCAAAGGTCCAAGCTATAGAGGACTGAGACAAGGAAAGAAAGAAAGAAAGAAAGAAAGAAAGAAAGAAAGAAAGAAAGAAAAAAAAAAAAAAAAACATGGAGTACTTAGGTACTTAGTGTCACGAATTCGGTTCATGGACTTCCGTTTATTCACCACCAGATGTCGCACTTTCCATTACATTGACTCTCGCACTACACAAACTGTTGCATAGCACCCCGGACTACATTTCCCATCATTCTTTGCACAATTTGCACACTGCCCTGATTGCACTCATTGCACACAGCTGTTTCTAATTACCTCATTCACTATATAACACCCACTCTAACCACATTTCTCTGCTGAGTAAAGGAGGTGTTTGCTTGCCCGGGCGGTTGGGGTCTGCATGCTTGGGTGTCCGTGAGGTGCAGAGGTTCAGGTGTGAGTGAGGGCTGTGCACTTCCCTGATCTATGCTAGCACTGGGTGGGGGTTTTGAATCACCCAAATAAGGGCTGCTAAAGTCCATGTCCATTACAGTTGGAGGAGCACTCCATTCTTCTGGTAGCTTCATCCTGCTTTTACTCTTCTTGGCCTTGATGCGTCCTCCCCCTCTTTCTTGGATCTCGCTTTCCCACATCTCTTCGTCCCTATTAGGAGGTGAGGGGCAGCCGTGGTTGGAGCTTTCGGAAGGAGTCTCTTCTGAGTCAGGGGAACCAAGACTGTCCAGAAGGTCATACATTTCTTCCCTGTTCTTGCGTTTCTTCTTTTTTCGCTTCTGCTGCTTTTCGGTTCCTTCATCGATGGACTTTTCCTCACCGGATGCTGCATCTGGACTCTGGGAACCCAAGGCATCAGTGCGACTCTGTTCTGCCTTGTTGGAAGCATGGGACTGCTCCGTAGAGAGCATTTCCTCACCTGTCCAAGGGCTTCCCCAAACTTCTTTGTGTACAGAGAGGAAGAGGAAGTGTCACTGACTACCATACAAATCATCGGACAACAAAATTTGTGCATCTCCAGCTCATAACAGCTATTAAGAGTCCAAAGAGGCATTAGATCAGCTACCTATGAACCACTGATCACTTGCATCATGTGGTGCGTTACACCAGAAGATGATATGAAGACAGACACTATCCACTAATTCACAATGAATAGCATCATCCAGTCTATAGTTCTAAACTCAAAAGAGAATTAGTATTAGCCATGGGTTCCCTTGGAAATTTCCAATGGGTTTTCAGAGTTTTTTTTTCTCATCTCAGATTAATTTTTACTTGAGGAGGCTTTCACAACAAACTAAATATACATTATACCCATTGTGCGGAAATTGCTGATTCTCCAGCTTGCATTGTGTGAAATATTTCAATGGGAGACTAGCACCTTATGAGTTTCTGGTCCCGAAATTCTGCTTTTTTTTTGCCTTTTTATTGTGATAGGACAGTTGGTTGACAGGAAGCGAAGTGGGAAAGAGAGAGGTGGGTATGGGATCAGGAAAAGTCCACGAGCCGAGATTCGAACTCAGGACACCCAAAGCACAATTGCGCTATATGTCGGTGTGCTGCCCACAAGGCTATTGGTGACAAACCGAAACTATGTGTTTATGAAGCGTAAGCAGTCCTCATTTTACTCCATGATTTCAAATGCTAAAAATTGCACAAAAATTAATCTGTTTTTCTTCAGAACTTGCTAGGTTAAACAGACATGTCATGAATTATGGCTTCTGTAAAATTATCAGGTGTTCAAGGGCAGTAACTTTCCTGACTGCCAAAACTTGCACTGTGTACTCCTGTTGCCAGTGTAAGGATAAAAGAAACTCAGATACTTTGATCTTCTGAGACAGAAAATACACACACAGTGCATTAACATACAGACATCTGTTTCCGCATCTCACTGAGAGAAAATGCGGGAAAACGTCTCTCACATATGCATTGGTTCCTCCTCATCCCCTTCCTTCCCCGCACCCATCCTTCTCTTCACCCAGCTCACTCAGAATGGTCAATGGTAGAATATAATGTTCTATACGAATGCAAGTATGATTTACAGTCATGTATGGTGTCATTTGAATAGTCTCAGGGCAACTGATAAAATGGTCTTAATCTTACAAAAGTAGATTAAAAGATAATACTGATCCTAAGAGTTAAGAGATACTTTGATTACTGTAGAGGGTCATTCCATGCAAATTACCTTCTGTTCCCATTGTGGTGCAAACCACCCAGGTCTGGGACCTGGGTTAATGGAAATTCCAATTGTTTGTACATGCCTCCACTTGGGGGATGTTTTATCTTGGTTTTGTTTTTAAAGGATTGCAGCAAAAGGGTCGGGGCGATTCTGTAGCCAGAAAGCCCGTAGTATGGAATGTGTCCACACACCCAATACTATGTATTTTCCTAAAGTTAGGTATGAATCCTTTACTCTTAGATTTGTCTATGAGAATTTGATGTCTTGTATTGATTTGATATCTTTGAATTGGCTATGGAGATAATTGGCATAATACATATTTACCTGACTGATAATAAACTGTTACATTTAATTTATTCTGACTTACTCTGAAATTATTTCCTCAAGTAGATTAAGTGAAGGCGTATGTTTCCGCAAATCTGCGACCAGGGTTACGTGCATACTAGATCTCAGATTAGATGAAGCATGGGTGAGATTATGGGTTTCTGACTAACCGCTTGACCTTAGTTTAAATTGTACTCAGTTACGTTAACCATGCATATTGTTTCAGCATTAATTAAGTTATATTAACTATCGGAGGCTAGACAAAGGGTCTAGCAGAATCGCTGATTAATGTTTTGAGCGTTAATTAAGTTGTACGTAGTTATATTAACTATTGGGGGCTAGACAAAGGGTCTAGCAGAACCGCTGATTAATGTTTCGAGCATTACATGGGTAACTGTAGGGGGCTAAACAGATTAGTCATAAACCTCTGGCTAAGGGTCAAACTGGCGAGTTTGTGATCGTGGGTCCCACGCATAGCGGCCGCCGTGAGGCACCCTAAGCGACATAGATTCCTAATGAACGAGTAAATATAAGTAAAGAGTTAACTAGAATAATCGAATGTCAGAATAATTATAGACTGACAAACAACCAATTTGCCTTTCAACCTAAATTCGAGGTCATACTAAAATGGAGTCAGATTAGATAATAAAATGGAGTCAGATTTGAGTTAAACCTAAATTGAATAACTCTGCGCGCTGAAAAGACCGAACACGCAAGAAACCTTCATCCACCACTGGATACCTTCATTGGGCCAAGTGTGTGGTCCTTACACCAGCTAGTTACTTAAAGAGACTACAATAAGCATATGTAAATATGCTTGACAAATTGGACGTTGTATTTCCTATTTAACAACAGATTTTCAATTTAAGAATTTAACTTAGGCTTCAAAATTCTAGTCTGAGGTATGACTGTTTGTAATTTACGTTGCCGAACAAAAGAAAACCCAGTGGAAATTCTCCAGTGGCAAATTACCCTTCAAAGTTAGCCGTATAAACTGAACAGCTCAATAGAAAACAAATTTGGCTTTTCAATTCTTTGGATTATGTTACATCCTGATAAAGGCCTATCACTGATCTTTGCCAAATAGGTAGTTTACCCAAAATTGAAAATTCTGTCATTAATTACTCACCCTCATGTCGTTCCAAACCTGTTAAGACATTCGTTCATCTTCAAAACACAAATTAAGATATTTTTGATGAAATCCGAGAGCTTTCTGACCCTGCATAGACAGCAACGCAACTACCACGTTCAAGGCCCAGAAAGGGTACTGTGTGGTACTGTCATGAACGCGTGTCAAAGACTGAGAGAAGAGAATAAATTGTTGAATAAAGTAATTATTTTTGTTTTCTTTGCACACAAAAAGTATTCCCATAGCTTCATAAAATTAAGGTTGAACCACTGATGTCACATGGACAATTTTATTGATGTCCTTACAACCTTTCTGGGCCTTGAATGTGGTAGTTGCGTTGCTGACTATGCAGGGTCAGAAAGACATGAGGGTGAGTAATTAATGACAGAATTTTCATTTTTGGGTGAACTATCCCCTTAATGTAAGATAACAGATCTGAGGATAGCATGCTCATACTTGCTGCAGAGGGCACTTAAATGGGTGTAATAGTTTCAGCAGTGGCTGAGAGAAAATGTGCTGAGACTACGATGTGCTCACTTGAGAGCACATCAAGTGAAAGTGCAAATGGGCAAATGAACTCATGGAGAAATAACAGGCACGGATAACAATAGAGGCAAGTCACAGAGAGACTGACTCAAAGAAAAGCCACAGAGAAGAGTCACATGACATGGATAGTATATATCTCAGTACTGAGGGCAAATAAAGGTCACTGAAATAAACCAAAATCCATGACAAGACAAACACTTAACACAATGGTTGACAACATCAAAACACATTACATTTAGAGGGAAACAAAACCTACTGCTAATTGAACTTTGATCATGTTTACCAGCGCTATAGTCCAGCCATCAAAGCATAATAAGATGAAACCTAAATTAATTTCTAGACCCAACCAAACTGTTTTTCTGTTTTACATCATATGATTTTCTATTTTACATGCCTTTCTTCATTCACTAGACTCGGTGCTCTTCATTGATCAAAGGGTTATAAACAGTCACTTGGAGGAAGTGCCAGTGGCAATAACATCTATATTTCAGATATGAGGTCTAAAATGTGAAAAGGCTTTCTAAACTTGCTCTGGGCCAGAAGACACATAAGTATTCCCATAGCTTCATAAAATTAAGGTTGAACCACTGATGTCACATGGACAATTTTATTGATGTCCTTACAACCTTTCTGGGCCTTGAATGTGGTAGTTGCGTTGCTGACTATGCAGGGTCAGAAAGACATGAGGGTGAGTAATTAATGACAGAATTTTCATTTTTGGGTGAACTATCCCCTTAATGTAAGATAACAGATCTGAGGATAGCATGCTCATACTTGCTGCAGAGGGCACTTAAATGGGTGTAATAGTTTCAGCAGTGGCTGAGAGAAAATGTGCTGAGACTACGATGTGCTCACTTGAGAGCACATCAAGTGAAAGTGCAAATGGGCAAATGAACTCATGGAGAAATAACAGGCACGGATAACAATAGAGGCAAGTCACAGAGAGACTGACTCAAAGAAAAGCCACAGAGAAGAGTCACATGACATGGATAGTATATATCTCAGTACTGAGGGCAAATAAAGGTCACTGAAATAAACCAAAATCCATGACAAGACAAACACTTAACACAATGGTTGACAACATCAAAACACATTACATTTAGAGGGAAACAAAACCTACTGCTAATTGAACTTTGATCATGTTTACCAGCGCTATAGTCCAGCCATCAAAGCATAATAAGATGAAACCTAAATTAATTTCTAGACCCAACCAAACTGTTTTTCTGTTTTACATCATATGATTTTCTATTTTACATGCCTTTCTTCATTCACTAGACTCGGTGCTCTTCATTGATCAAAGGGTTATAAACAGTCACTTGGAGGAAGTGCCAGTGGCAATAACATCTATATTTCAGATATGAGGTCTAAAATGTGAAAAGGCTTTCTAAACTTGCTCTGGGCCAGAAGACACATTTCTCTTCTAAGTTTCACAGCCATCACACTCAAAAAGTAATATTACAGAGTGGTCGAAGATAAATCTTTAAAATGCCTTCCACCATAATGTACACTTGAAGACATAGTGCACATAGTGCACACAGGTTAGTCAAAGACAAACTGTGAATAACGATCATTGACTATTATGATCCATCATGTAAAATGATTTGGAATGGACATTTCACAATGAAGGATGTTTAGTCTAGTCACTAATTAATTTTTCACTACCACTATTTTTCAGGTTACATATACTCATAGCATTCAATACCAGAGTTAACAACCTATTGCTTATCACGTCAATAAAATCATACTCATAATAAGTGATATCTTGAAGACCATGAAAAGTATGAAGCAATTATCTTGTGACAAGATATTGATGAGGCATCCATGCCTTGACCGGACAGAGTGGAATGATATGAGAGCTGAGATCATAGAACATTCTGTGACATAATAATCAATCAGTATCTTAATATCTGTGTTTAAAGTCTGTCTTACCTGTTCTAGACTGCAGTGAGCTGCCTTAAGTGGCGATAGACTTTACCTGCAGAATTTTCCAGGCTGTTACGAGGGCTTGTATCACTCAGATTAGCAGTTATCTGGGATGCTTTGGGTGGTTCATTGGCAAACAAGGGTGAGGTCTTCTGAGGTTCACCCATGCTGGGGGGTTTGGAGCTCTGGAAAGGGGCCATGCCAACATTCATATTCATACCAATATTCATTCCAGGTTGAGAGAACCCTGAAGCACAGAGCAGCAGAGCGATAGCGCATTAAAACTTAACAGAGCCTGAGGAAATGAACTGAATCGAACCCACAACCTTAGGTCAGCAAGATTAAACATTGCAGTGGTTACCCAGAAAAGGGTCCATGCTGTTGTCCTTCACAGTAGATCCCATCTGCTGGTTTCCTAATTGGACAGGTTTTTCAATCATTGATGTTGGGCCTGGAATTAGAAAGACTTGGACTAATGTCTAGCACATAATTAGATTTTTTTGGTGAACTATTTAATTCAGTTCTCTTAAGCAAGCCTGACATACTCAATGATCCCACCTGATTGAAAGTCATTCTTATAAACATATTGTCCAGGCGGGCTGGGATGGATTTCTCCCTGAGGGTCCTGACGTTGCCCTCCAGTCTGGCCTGCAGACAAGAACCCAGACCCTGAGAAAAGAGAAAACAGACAAACTGACTCTGTATAAGTGCATCAAAACTCAAGAGCAAAGGATTTATGCAGGAAATGTTGTAAATGTTTTTTTAGCGAGTTAATTCACTAAATAATGATGATCTGTTGAAATGTATAATATTAAGTATATTTAATTTTTTCATTTATTTTTGAATGACACAAAAATACACCCATAAATTGTTTAATAATAATTCTGTATATCAATTTTATGTATGAAATGCTGAAATGCTCAGACACAATTCACAACACCCACCTGAGAATGACCCATCTGTGAATAAGAGGAGTGTAACATTTAACAGCAAGATGAACACATCCTCTTCATTAGTAACTTTAGTGATTTAATGGCATTTATTAGGTCCTGTAAATGTAACTTTCATGAAATCTGATTGACTGTCTAATTGAATGTGTCCCCTGTCAAAGGCAGTGGGGAGGGGCATCCCTGAAAATAAGCCTGCTCCCATCCATTCCAATATTTCGCCGTTATGAGAAGGGCAACTGGAGATGAGTGATGCTAAGATGATGGGACTTGCTGGGACTGCAGGCCTGTTACCGTAGTTATACAACCAGCTGAGGCTGCTCTACGTTCCCTAGGCAAAGCACTCTGTCAGCATCAAAACTGACTGACACGAGGAGCCAGCACTGAACCAGCATAAGCTCAGATACCAGCCCTGGATTAATGATCGCACTCCCACAGGACTGGGCTGTTCCAGCTCCATGCAATTATCCTCTTTGTGGAACAGGATCGGTGTACATGTCACTGTGAGTCACGCTGTGTCTGCTATATAAGCAAGGATGCAATGGGAATCTGTTGGCCAGGCCTTTGTGTTGAATGTTGATAAGGTAGAGAGGGGTCGACCTTAATGGGTGATTTGTGCGTTTATGCCTCAAGTAGCATGTTTTCAATCTTCTTTCTGTTCCAGGATGCTGATGGTGTACTAAAATAAACCCCAGCAGAGCAATGGCCACACAAAGAGAAGCATATGAACCTGAAAACAAGCTTCAGTTAAAAGCCAAAAAATGGAAGAGGGACTAAAAATAGTCACTTTTGTCCCAGACATGAGGCACTTGAGGTGCAGACTGCCATGTCATGCTATGGTAGAGAGCCTCCTTTTGCAGTTTAGGAGGGGAGCATCAGACATCCTATTCAGCATAGCATCAGTTATATAACGTCATAAACCAGTGCTGTACTGTGAGTATACCAGCAGCACAGACAAAGAACCAGAGAGTCTCTAACATGCAATATGGTTATGCAAAAACACACAAACATGATCGATAAACTACACAAACTTACAGAAATACTGTTAAAACTAATCAACTAATTAATGAAGTAGAAGACATTTTTAAGAACGCTGGGAACCAAATATCATTGGACCCCACTGACTTCCACGGTATGGACAAAAACCACTGAGACATTTCTCAAAATATCCTCTTTTGTGTTCCAGAGAAGAAAGAAAGTCATACAGGTTAGAATTCACATGAGGGTGAGTAAATGATGACCAATTTTCCACCATTTTTGGGTGGAGTATTCCTTTAAAGCAAGATACATAAAATAATTCTACTTGAATCTACTTAATGTAATTTTTATTATTTTCCTTTATTTAGTAATTCATGTTTATATACCAGCTACTCAGCTGACACAAGCTTTTGCAGTATTTCAATAACATCTAGACATAAATAACAACCAAGGTTGCTATTTTTGTATATTCAAAGACTAGATTTATTATTTCATATTAAAGATAAATCATATTTAATCTAGTGATACGAGATTGCTTATATGTTTTTTAGATTTTGTGAGTTTTTCTACATCACCCTTCCCACAGATCTCACAACTAAAATGAACAATAAAACAAAATGGTAACCCATGTAAAATGTATTATAGCAGTATATGAAAAATAATAAACTGGGTATTTTATTGCATGTTATACTGCACAATGAAAAATTATAATTTCTAGCCCAGTTGAATACCCTTGATGTCTGCGACATGCAACTGTTTGAAAAGGAAAGTCATATGAGAGCAGAATCAGACAAGAGCATTGCAAATAATGAGTAATTTGCCAGAATGCAATAATTTCTTCAGTTTATTAGATGTAAGTCGATATAAAAATTGTATGATATTAAAAACGACATTAATGAAAATATATACGACTGTAAGTGCAATTTTATTATAATTCGAAGAGACTGCACAGCCTTTAATAGCCAGCATAGTTATTGATTAATCATCTTAACTTGTACTTTGTTCTTTAGAAATGAGCCTCCAAGCGCTTGTCAACAGACAACTTACAATTTCCATAAATCTTTATTACTTTGTCAATAAACAAGCTTTATTATCTCACGCAACCTTTTCAGTGGAAAACGTGTGGCAGGAAATATATTTTTCTTGCCTGCTAGCTGGCCGTGATGTTTTATCAATACTGACAACTTATGCTTAGTAATTATTTCTCACTAAAATTTCAGTTCCAGCAATGATCTGATGAGAAGCTACTACAGAAACACAGGCTTTTGCTATATGCTAACTATGAGATGCTACAGCCTTATCATACGGAGAGTGCAAGTCTTTACAGTAACATCAAATAAATGGCCATTTCTCTCTCTTAATGGAGGTGGAAATTTAATCACACTCGTTTGGATCTTTGGCTGAAGCTATTAAAAGTATCTGTCACATCTGCTGTAGACAGATCTGCTGATCTCAGCATCCACATACATGCTCACTGCTGCACACATATACACATACGTTGCTGTTGCAAGTTGCAACATACGTTGCAAGGGGAAGTCGTGGCCTAATGGTTAGAGAGTCAGACTTGTAACCCAAAGATTGCGGGTTCGAGTCTTGTACCGGCAGGGATTGTAGGTGGGGGGAGTGAATGTACAGTGTGCTCTCTCCCACCTTCAATACCACGACTGAGGTGCCCCTGAGCAAGGCACCGAACCCCCAACTGCTCCCCGGGCGCTGCAGCATAAATGGCTGCCCACTGCTCCGGGTGTGTGTTCACTGCTGTGTGTGTGCACTTGGATGGGTTAAATGCAGAGCACTAATTCCAAGTATGGGTCACCATACTTGGCCACATGTCACATGTCACGTCACTGTTGTTGAGAGGTCACCCTGCTGCATTGATGTCTAAGCATTCTGTCAAGCACAAGCCCAATATCATACTGTAAAGGTCAACATTTCTGCATATTCTCTTACATGTAGAAAACAAAACAAACACTTTCATATGATTAATGCAAAGAGAAATATAAAAGGATGGCCCAATCCCAAAAACCGAACGCTCAAAAGCTTCATCAAAGTTCATCTACCTCCAGCTATTTCATAGTCTTTATGTGACCTTTACTAAAATTGTTTGTTTCTAGATGTTTTACCAATGACTAACTTTACAAAAAGCACCAGTGTTAAACAATACCAAATTTGGCATATTTATTCAGTAGCCTAAACACTATTAGCGCTATCATGCATACCAGGTGATTAAACTCTAAAACTGTGCCCCAGCAAATAATAAACACTTTTGAAAATAAATAGTGGTGATGGTTGTAATCCAAGAGGAAAGATGGTGTTTGCTTAACTGAACCTAGAGTTCACTCGGGAGGTTTCTTGGCAGAAGACAGCATGGTTTGAGGCGGCTGTCGAGGCGAAAAAAAAATCTCAGGGGAAATTCTTAGATCTGAGATGTTGCCAACCATGATCAGGCGTATGGCCTAGACAAACAAGCATAAAAGCAACCCAAAATACCTTGGAATATCAATGAGTTTTTTCTCATGAAACCAACTTGAACAGGATGTGAAACTAGAGGAAAGGAATAAAATGTGCTTCTGCCATTTGCCATTATACGTTTTGGCAGACAGAGAAGAGAGACACACAAATAAACAACCACAAACAGCATCTACTTCAGATTAGATACATCAGATTACAGTGCAATGCAAAAGGAAGACAGTAAATTACAAAAGTGAAAGTGAACAGGCTGTTCCTAATGTTGCATTGTACTACACAACATAACCAACATATCTGCATTAAACAAAAATGAAGAAAAAAAGAAAAGTAGCAAATAATATTTATTATTATTTATATTTATTTATTATATTTTTTAATTATTTTAGGGATGCACGATATATCGGCCACCATATCGGTATCGGCCCATATCGGCTCATTTTTTCTGTTATCGGTATCGGCCTGATAAGAAAATTTGGCCGATATCTTAAAGCCGATAAATAATGCATTATTTCCTTCAGAGACACTTCAGATGCGCGCTGTTCGTTTGCAGCCTTTTGTGCAATTGTACATTGTAATATTGTGTTTATTTGATGTATATCTGATTTATCTCATATAGAATGCGTTTGGTTAAGTTAAAAGAGCACTTCAGTTTACCGGTGATCATCTTTAGCTCAGCACACGCAGCCCAAACAGCAGTGCACAACATTAATAACTATGATTGGGAATTAAAAGGTTAAAGAAGGACAACTCAGAAAAGGATAGTGAGAGAAAGAAAGGTACAGAGAGAGAGAGAGCTTGTCATTGTGCACTAGCCCAAGGCACGTGTTTGTTTGCCATCACTAGAGTTTCACTGTGTCTCATTGTTTCTCTGGCTGTCACACTATCCACATTCAGAGAACCCAGATTAACACAATTACACACTGTCCTGTTCAACAAAGGTCCAAAAAGCAGCAGCTGAATGCCAAATGTACAGCTGTCGCACAAGTCGCACTTTAAAAGGTTAAATTGATGATTCACTTTTAACAGCAGAACGCGAGAGAAAATGCTTCTATAAAACACAATTATATACTACGAGCATGTGAACCTGTTTAGGCTAGGACATCAGGTGCCACTAGACTAAAATTCAGCTTCTTGATTTGCTCAAATTTATCAGTTCACACAAAACAACTACGTATTATGCCAATAAACAGTGCCAGTGAGAGAAAATAAAGAAGGACAACTCAGAAAAGGATAGTGAGAGAAAGAAAGGTACAGAGAGAGAGAGAGCTTGTCATTGTGCACTAGCCCAAGGCACGTGTTTGTTTGCCATCACAAGAGTTTCACTGTGTCTCATTGTTTCTCTGGCTGTCACACTATCCACATTCAGAGAACCCAGATTAACACAATTACACACTGTCCTGTTCAACAAAGGTCCAAAAAGCAGCAACACTCTTGCGTGACGAACATACAAATCAAAAATCAAGCCGCCGTGCGCTTTGACAGCGGGGGGCAAATGAGTTAAGAGCCAAACAAATCTCCACAATGCTTTTGGTCAGACATTAATGTGATTATACTACCCAGAATCCATCTCCTCTTTCCTTTTATTACTTATCCACATCTTTGCATTTCCTTCCACCCCTCCTTGTTTTCCCCAACCCCTGTATGTAGATGGATGTGAAGTGTAATTCTCTTGATATCCTGATGGATGGTAAGAGGCCCAGCTGGTCCAAAAAGTGAAGGGATTAGAGGTAGAGTGATTCCCCCTCGTATTTGTCAGCCAGACTGAATCCCCTGCAGACGTCACAAAATCATCCCAAAACACTTACTGTAATCAGCTGTTTCTGTACAGCAGCACACATTGGCGTACAGTAACATTAGACCTTATGAACATTAACTAAACATCTGACAAAACAAACTTTACTACTATAATCCTTAAGATGACCTCTTACAGAAATCTTTCTACATGGTCCCATTCAATTTTGTTGATACGTCATATGTGGGCACATTTTAAAACAAATTTTTGTCTGGTTTTCT